TGCGGCGCGACACGACAAATCCCCGACAGAAAACTGCTGCTGCATTCTATTTATGACACAAATTTCGAATTATTTTCAACGGTCGCTTTTCTGAGTAGACACGCCCCTTACTGCTGATTGGCTACACGTTTGTTTTGGGACTCAGCCCGACACAGTTTTCTAAAGCGTTTTAGAAAAAATACATACCCCACCTTTAAAGGGTTTTCATTCTCTTTTTAATCACTTCATAAAGTAGAAAGTTATGGAAGCTTGTTTCCACTACAGAAAAAATAATAATAATAATAATTTTAAAAAAAAGGGAATTTTTTTTCCCGCAACAATTCTGACTTTTTTTCCTCAGAATTCTCAGAATCGTGAGATATAAACTAAAATTGTTTATAAATCAAAATTGTGAATTGTAAACAAGAAGTTGTAAAAAAAAAAGTTCAAATTGTGAAACAAAAACTTGCAATTACTTGTTACATTTTTTAACACTGTGGCAGAAACAGGCTTCCGTATAAAATACTGTCGACAGCCAGAAAACAAACACATTTTCACCATGTTTTAGGAGTAAAATGTTGTAGAAATCACTGTGAATGAAATATGAACAAACCTTCAGAATATAGAGAGGAATAAAACTCTTTAAAGATATGGATTGAGATTGAAATCTACAGATGCAAATAGATAATGTGCGATAAAATAAAGACTTCAATGTGTATTTTGGATGTTTTCTTTCTACTAGTCTGTAATAAAAGACGTGTTATGGAACCAAAATATCTCAAAAGGGGTTTGCCAGCAGTGTGTGACTGCTGAATAACTGGTGAGGAGTTTCTAGATCCGGTGTTGTCAGAGGGAAGTGAGTGCACCTGGCTGGCCGCTGTCTGTAGAGCGCAGGGAATCACAGATGCTGTTGTACGTGAGGAAGTACGTGGCGAAGGAGGGTCCGTCACGCAGCACTAAAGCAGCAGAGCCCTTATAGAGCCCCAGCAGACCCTCGTCCCGCGCGATGCTCAGCAGACAGTGCACCGGGCCGCGGTACTTGGGCCTGGAGTCCGGCAGCTCGGTCTGACACTGAAGACGCACTTTCACAATGTCTGCGGGGGACATCACCAAAACCTGAAAGCAGAGTGAACACACCTGACTCACACATGCAGCCACACACGAGAAGCGCTGCCTGACAGCTGATGAACGCAGAGCACCTGAGCCACGCCTCCAGCAAACCCAGACACAAATAAATCAGCTTTATGGTGCGGATCCGCTGCGCTTCTGTGCCGCAGCTCATGCAGGTGGTGCAGGACGTTCCTGTAGGTGCCAAACACCAGCGAGGAGCTGATGGAGACGGTGCTCAGCGGCATGGACATCCCGCGGTAGAAACCTCTGACCTGAAACACGCCGGCGGGTTACTTACTTTCCACAACAGAAATAACACATAAAAAGAGTATTTGTGATTTAATCTACCAATTCTCACTTTATCTCAGTTTTGTTTATATCTCGCAATTCTGACTTTACAGTTCTGCTCAAAAGTTTCTGCAACTTACACATCATCATATTATTATTATTTTGTCAACTACAATTCTGTCTTTTTTTCTGAGACATGAAAGAAGAGCAGTCAGAATTGTGAGACCGCCAGATTAAAATTCTCAATGACCCTTTTTCTTATTTCTACTGGATAGTTGTGAGTGTTTGTGCTGGTACTCACTCCTTCAGTTCTGCAGGTTCTTCTCACACACTCCCAAACACCTGAGTCACGTGTCTGAGTCTGGATCCTCACCTGCAGCATCCATCAGCGTTACACACCTGATACAGTACTGCAGCTGATGAAGAAGAGGATGAGGAGGATGGGTTTACCTTCACTGTGTCCAGCGGATACCCCACGGCCACTCCAAAAGCCCCTGAATATACAGATCACAACACATTCCTCATCGCAGAGAAATAACAGACATACGTTATGCAGAATAAGAGAATCTCACATTCACACACTGAGACTAAACACAGCTGATTTACTTCACTGACCTCCGACAGAACCGGCGACGAAATCCGCGAGATGCATCACGGGCAGAGCCAGCAGAACCGATCAAACTGAAGAATCAGAACCGATCCGACTCATCAGAAATGATCCGAACCGATCAAACAGAAGAATCGAAAACAGCAGAACCGATCAAATAAGAGGAATCGGAACCGATCCGAATCATCACAAATGATCCGAACCGATCAAATAGAGGAATCGGAACCAGCAGAACCGATCAAGCAGAAGCATCCGAATCATCCGGTTCGACCCGCCGAACGCGAGTCGGACAAACGCCGTTTAACGAACTGATGATGATTGTGAAGAAGACAGATACGAAGAGAAGTGTGTGTGTGTGTGTCGCTGCAGAAAGGTGAACCGAAGGTCACGATCACCTTCAGAAACGAAGGTTCTGAATCAGCGATGGCGTGTAACAGTAACGCGTGAGTCCGCGCTGATGTTCGGCTCCTTTGATGTTCTGTGATTCACTGTAGCGCAGGAAATATCATCTGCATCAGATCAAAAGCCGCCGGCGGCAGAGTCCGACAGCGCTCGTGTTCCTGCAGTGACCGCTGAACGGCGCTGCTCTCCATTCCCTCACACCACTGACGATGATGATGATGATGATGAAGAAACACACCAGAGTTAAAGGCCAAGAGTCACATTCGCTCAGTCACGTGTTACACAAATAAACATAATGATTACTGTACAGCGTCGGCTACTGTAAACGCCGCTCTATTAATAAACAGTTTTATTAATAAACAGCCAGCGCATATTGTTTGTTTATATTTTAAGGACATGCCACGGCTATTTTCATGACAAGAAAAAGGTTAAATGCATGCATAAATGAATAATAAATTATTAATATTATTAATAATAATAAATATGTAAATAAACAACAAAAGAGAACAAAATTTACAAAAGCTGTTTTAAAGTTCACATTAGATTAAAAAACAAAACTACAATAAAATAATAATCAAAAATAATTAAAACCAAGTCTGGCCTCACTTCATTAAAAATATTTTCATGAATCAGCCAAACAGAAAATAGATTTTGATATTGTCAAACCAAAGCAGTTTTATTATTATACAATTAAAAATGATTGTTTTAGAGTCACTGAGATTTTTTATAAAATTATTATAGTTTTTTTTCTACTTTCATTGTAATTTTTGTTTTTCATTTAATGTTTATTAGATTTTTTTTTTTTTAAATGTCTAGTTTTTATTCATTTTTAGTTATTTTAATGCATCAGGTTAAACTAAATTAAAATGAGAAATGTGGTTTTATCAACTTTATAAATCAAAATAAGACTATTTAAATTTAAAAAATATATATTTTCAGTAAATGTTTTTCATTTCAAGTATTTTTATTTTATTTCAAATAATTATTTTTATGGTTTATGGTTTAGTTTACTATAATAAACCTGGCGTAAGCATCAACATTCATTTTCAGTAATCAATAATAGATTAGAATTATTAAGCATTCTTTCTAATCATTATTATAATTGCTGATTAACATGCACCTGCTTCATATTTATAATGTACAGAACTATATCACAGTGAGCTGAAGTTCTGACAGAGGTTTACTCAGTGTCTCAAGCACATGCAGGTATAAGCTTTGATGATGATGATGATGATGATGGGGGTGTTTCTTCATCCTGGAGCTTCTATTGGTCACAGATGGACTTTCCCCTTCATATCAACTTCATTCAGTAAAAATAGCAGCTCAGAAGCAGCAGCTTCTCATGAGCACAGACGTCCAGCGACTGACCGACTGAACAAACCCTGCTGCTGCTGCTGCTGGAGGATCAGAGCTCACAGACATCCACACTCATCTTCATCATCATCTTCATCATCTGAGGAATGGCTCTGGACTTTGTTGCAGGATGCATTGGAGGTAAAATGCGCTTCATTTGACTGACTGAAGATCTGCACACGCTCACTGAAACATTCAACACTTGAGTCAAATTACATGCAGAGTAAATGAGAACTAATCTAGTTGCTGAAATCGAGAACAGCTCTCTAGTTATACTGGTAACTGATTACTAGCTACCCGTTGTATGCTGTCAGCTGTCTTAGACTAATATCCCACACTGGGATCCAATCTCACTCTCAGGCGTTCATGTTTCAGGAGCCGCAGGTGTGCTGGTCGGACATCCGTTTGATACGGTGAAGGTACGTCCGCTTTGACTAAACTATAAAACTCTTCAGAACTGCTGACTAAAAGGTTCTTTGGGGAACCAAAAATGGTTCTTCTATGGGAGAGATTCCCAAACTCGTTGACCATTAATTTGACCCGCCACGCCATTATCACAAGAGCGAGGGAAAATTATTGATACATTTGAATATAATACAGTTTGGTATAATGCAACATTTTCTTATGGCCCACGGCTTCCAATTAAGTTAGATTTTTGTCTGCTCTGTTCCGTGGCATCCCTGCAAAAAACCCTTTTGGAAGCTTTATTTTTAAGAGTGCATCTACTATTAAAGCTCATCATAAACACTGAGTGCATGTTCAGTCAAAGTCTTTATTGTCTGCTCTGTTTCTGCATTCACGGTTTGACAAATCGCCATCTATTAGATTGTATAATCAATTAAAATCTACACTCTAAAAAAAATGCTGTGTTAAACACAGCCCAGTGCTGGGTTAAATAGGGACAAACCCAGCAATTGGGCTGTTTTGACCCAGTGGTTGGGTTACTACCCAGAAGGGTGGGTTAAACATTTAACCCAACCGCTGGGTCAAAACAACCCAATTGCTGGGTTTGTCACTATTTTACCCAGCACTGGGTTGTATTTAACCCAGCATTTTTTAGAGTGTATGCT